TACCTCTCCATGTTTGAGTCGTCGTCCTCTCTGTTTACTTTGAAGGGGTGTTTTCGTCATTTTCATCAAGGGGCTTCGTTTATCTTCCGGTCCGTGTATCTAATGGGCCTGGAATTAAAGGTGTATGTCACATGGGCCTTACATGTGAAATTTGGAATTTTGTAGATTGATGTGAAATTGAATCTAAACTCATTATGAAACTATCGCTTGCTTTCTTTGATAAAACAATATCTAAAATCTCGTTTCCAACTTTCCACCATCCAAAACACACATGTGGATGTATTTTTTGTATATATCATAATTGAGTTGAGTTGATACTTGATAGGAATATATGTTTCAAAAATATGAGTAAAAATCAAACTATTATTAAATTGTCTTTCAAAGTAAGAGGACGTAGAAATGGGCAAGCCTAATACGAAGCTTAGATCATCAAGCAAAGTCTATAGACTTAATTAGTTATGGCCCATTTCAGTAATTACTGAATTACAAGAAAAAAACGCATTGTTGGGCCAATTATCCTCTTTTCTTTTGGCTGATTAATATATTTATATATATGTTCCAACCTTATAAAGTTATGCTTCTTTTAAAATATATAGGTCGTATAATGTAATTGTATTAAAATGATATGCAATCTGACATGACAGTGTAAAGAAAACATGCAATAATCGTACTTTATGAGAAGGAGCTATATAGAAGGCTTTTATTATGTTGTGTTTGTGCATGTTTCACCAAACATCCCATTATGATAATTCAAAGCTGAAAAATAACCTTTATCGAAGCATGGTCATCCAATAAACCACGATCTGTGTCCCATTTCGAAAGCGAAAAATTGGTCATCATCATAATAGTAAAAGGTGCAAAAAAATTAAAGATCAAAATCATTACATGAAACCAGAAAACAATAATTACAAAAAACGTTATAAAAACACATTGTTAACAAGATATTAATACTGTATAGAAAAACTCGGGGTTTTATTAATGAGGTTTCAAAGTTGTAGGAGCAAAAATAGAAGACTCGATGGGAACCAAGAACAAGCTAGGAAATAATTTGATATTTCTTTTTGTCTTAATTATTACAAACTAATTGTGAATTTGTGATGACGGTAATGATATATAAATCAAAATCTGAAGGTGTTTATATAAACCAAGTGGAGATATTAGACACTGGAAATAGTGTTAGAAACTGAACCAGAGCAATCACTAGAGAGATACTTAACTAAGTGGGGAAAATTACAAACCAACTAAATCGATTAAAAATAGATATTCACACTCTTGATATAATATGAGTGTTAAATAAACTCTTTGATCAACATTTGACAGAGATTTATGATTAAAAACCAATACTATAGCAATAATGTGCCAAAAGTTACTCATGAAATTGGGGGCGACGTGCGTCTCCACTTCCATTGTTTATATTTCCACGGTCGGAGAAGTGAACGTCACATTCTTCTTTTTTTGTTTGTCTCTATGTATCTGTTTATAACTATGCACACAGTCAAAAGAAAAATTCAAAAATGATTAATTTTCAAAATCATTTAAGAAAATAGTTGGTAAAATAATATGAGATTTATCTACTTTGGTTATTGGAACGTCGAGAATTTGTTGCCCATGAAAAAGCCACTTTGGGGAAAAGTTTGAGTAGTCAAAAATCAAAATGAATGATTTAATCAAGCTAGGGGTGATTATGTCATTTTAGATAGATAGTTGACTAATCATTGCATAAGTAAGCATTTTGGATTTGATACCATTAAGCTAGGTCTTTGCCTCCATTTCTACCACTATTTAATTCAATTAATTTTTGTTCAAATTTGCATAAGCTTTTGTAAAATAATAATTACTAATTGTTAATTATGGAAAAGAAGATTGACTGTACGATTTAATTTTTATGATGTTTATCCGTAAGAGATGATTAGGATTATGGGTAGGAGACTTGTATATAAGCCTTAAAAAAAATTGAATTTACAATAATATGACAATTTTTTACCTTTTTAATACTGTTACTTGTGTGGATCCACATGTTAAAATTACCCTATTGTTGAGCCCCCCACTTCACCTACTAAAATTTAGTAAGTTTTAATATTTTTTGTCAACAATATTTTGTAATAAAACCTTTTCTCATTAATTTTTTTTTTTTTAATTTAAAATTGGCTACTTTTATGATATAATGTACTGTTATACGGAGTAGCTAGAACCAATAAATGCGTGGGTTGGATAATAAATTAGGATATTTATTATTTACTTGTTCAAAACCGTTTCAGACAGATATAGAAGATTGGTGATGCAGACGAGTTACGTAATTAGACAGAAAACTACAAACAAAAATATCAAATCCACTAAATAATATCTCAACGGATAAATTTTAGTTTCGTTATCTTTTTATGTTATAGTCTAATAACAACTATGGCTTTTTTTCTGTCAACAACAAACAGCTAAGTTAAATAGAAGTATATATTTTCCATAAATTAATAAACAAAAGTCTTGAAATTTCTATGTTTTGGAGGTGTAAAAGAAGAGAAATAATGAGATTTTAACATCTTAAAATAAAAGAAAAGTAAAAAGTGAGGATCTTTAGTTAGTTGTATAGTGAGAAGAGCCAGCTCTTTCAAGGTCACACTTTGGCTAAATTAAAAATTTAGGAGCTTCATTCAAAACAATGGAGAAAATTAAAAAAAAAAAAAACAGTTAAGAAAAGGAGAAAAGCAAGAAGCTTTCATGGGTCCCAGAATAACCAATCACCAAAAGATATCAAAATCGAATTATAAAATTAAAATAAAATCATAAAATTGTTGCGTGGATTGATGATCCCTTGATTTATATAATAAGAAAAAAAAGATACTATTTAGAATTTGGAACAGCAAGTAACAGCAAAGATTAGGCATTTGATTGATAATAAAAAAAAGTCAAATGGCATTTTAGTCACTATTTTTCGTTCAAGGAAAGAGATTATCAACGAGAGACCAAAGAGAGAGAATTACACAAACCAGAATTTTCTCTGTATTATTGTTGGGTTTAATGGCTACTTTGATGTGAAAGGTGTTGAATTTTCTCTTCAAGTAGAGCACACAAGGTGAGTGCAGCTTCTTCTCTGTGTTTCAGATGTTAAAAAACTAAG